TTTTTTGCCACGGGCCTACACTTACATTTTCTTCTCAGTGTAGGTACTGATAAAGACAGACCTTGATTTTTTAGGTCAGCCTTTTAAAGAACTCAAAAATCAAAAAGTCATTTTATCTAACTGAAAATACATACTGTTTATGTGAAGGCAGCATAAAATGTTGTCCCTACTCTGAACATCACTCAACCTAGAAAATCTTTTATGTGATGGCTGGAATCTCTAATGGGCAAAAATGGAAAATCATCATAACACATTTTGAATAGTAGATGATATGTTTCCCCTTAAGAAATCTATTTACTCACTGCAGTGTATGTGTTAAATGCTTACAAAGTGCAAGGCACCATGTGATAACCTCCTTTACACTTACTGAATGCAAAATACCTAGTACTTTTCTTGAGTCATTTTGTAGTGTGCGTGGATTACATTTTGCCTAATCTAAGTAGAGATAATTTCCTTGAAGGCTATTTACAAAACCTTTAGCCTGGTATTTGGTTCCAAAATCAAAACTGAGTTTAATTTTATTTAGCATGGAGACAAAATATGCCTCAGTGATAAGACAATAAAAAATAAGAGCATATTAAAAAAATCATCTTTTCTAGTATACATGAAATCAGTGCTAGACAAATTAGGAATTAAAAAGACCATCATCTATAATAACATGCCTACTTTTACGCATTTTGAATTTATAAGCTTAAATATCTAGCTTCTAAAAATGCTAGAGAAAATAAAAACTACTTTTTGGTAGTATATCTAAGATTGAACTCTACAGATATTAACTATTCCAACATCCTATGCATAATTTCCCCTAGTTAATTTTATCTGTTGCTACTACTCTTATGCACTATCTTTTCTATGGTGCACATGAGGAAATGTTTAGGAATATGAAACAATTTGATCAATGTCTTATTAGCACACTTTAATCCAGTACTTGCAAGCAGACATACTGATACTTAAACACTGAGTTGACATAAGACAGGAATAGTTCTTACCGTCTGGGCTGATTCCAATTGCTGTATGCTGCATTTTGAAGTTCACTCTCTTCTCCCTCTCCTTCTTCTCGCTCCGGTAGATCTGGAATGTCTCTGTTAAAGAGTTATGCAATGAGACTCTAAAATCCTAACTAGACCATGCAAGACTGTTTTATGTGTATTACATTTGGCCAATACTTGTATAATGCATAATAGAAACAGTATATTAGATCAACCTACCATAACTTATTCTGGAAATATATCAATGGCTAGATGTTGAGAGTCATGTCTATTATGTTTCTTTACTGATAAAAGATGGGGGGATAAAAGAAAGAAATGAAAGGAGATAAATAATAAAAAAATTTGAAAAAAAGTCATTCAACAAATATTTCTTAAATACCTGTCATGCAAGAAGCTAGAGGTACTACATGGATAAAAAACAGCACAACAACAACAACAAAACAGCTCTGATCAATTCCTACTCTGCAATAAGTTAACAATATTTTCTTCCTAAGGGTGGACCAATACTTTCCCTTCAATTTTTAAAAATGCTATGGTCTAGCAATAGCCCATCCAACAGGGCTGGACAGAATACTCCTTATAGGAAGTATTTTACAATGTACCTATATTCAAGGTCACTTTTCAATTTCTGTAGGAATTCACACATTACCAAATGCAAACATGAAAAAAGCGGCTTCAAAATGCTAAAGAACCATTAAGTAGAATTAGAAAATAATAGCAAAATCAAGAAAATATCTTGGTTTTCCAAATATATTTATATGTCAACAAATAACACCATAAGGGCAAAAGAAAATGGCTAAAATAATTATAATGTGTCCTTATGCTATTTGTAAAAATGGATTTCTAGAGAAATATGCATGCATAGTCCTTTGAAAACAAAAGATGTAAAACTTCTGATTCAATAAACATTTAGTCTGATTTTCACATAAATGATAAAGAAAGAATATGATTAAGTTTTATTAATGATTCACTAATAGTAATACTGAGCTGTTATGTAATTATGTAATCTTTAGACTCTGAGATAGAAAGTCATCTAACCCAAATAACACATCTGTGTTTGTATTTCACAACATTTCTGGCAAACAAATATTCAGGCTCTCCTTGAATGTCTCATTGCTTTTTTTGACCTGAATGTTAGATGTTTGTTTGACAATTGTTAAAAGGAAATCTACCTGCCTATTTGTCCTACCTAATTAGTTGGCTGCTTAAATTCCCTTCATGTGCAATTTGAGGGATGAAGCTCTGAATAAGGGTAACCTTCTAAGAAGGTAAATCTGACATTGGGATAGGATTGTTGGGAATGAGTCCAAAGTGGGGTTTAAAAGATAATGTTAAAAAGTTGACAGAGAAGTAGACAGTCTGAATGAAGCTCTAACCAGAAGATGGAAAATCTGAGAGGTGGAAACTAAACTAACTTATAGAAGACTAATATCTTAACTCCCCTGATATAAGAATCATTCCTTTTAAAGTATTCTATAATCTTTAATACATTTAATGTGCTCCTATAAATATGCTCATTATTCTTCACCCATCTTTAAATATGAGCAACTCTGCAATGTCTGATTCACAGAGCAGAATGAACCAGTTCTCCTCCTCTATCATTTCTTCAGCCAAAAATTCATTAGACTTCCTTGCACCAGTGTTCAAGGGTTGAATATCAATAATATTTCTGTCAATTATAGCAATAAACTGTCTTTTCAACTATGTATAATTGCCAGGTTAAATAACATACACAGTGTAACACAGGAAAGTTGTATAAGTGAGTTTTGAATTGAGGTCTCTTTGTACAAAACCTGAATTCTCCATTTCCATGTTATGTTGACACATATTTTTGTGCTGGGCTTGTGTTGTGCAATTCCTTCTTTGGATTCATGGAGCTGACTGACTACATCCCACTCATGATTGCTACTTATTAGCTGTGGACCTTGGGCAAATCACTTGCTCTCCATATGATACAGAATTCTCTGCAAAATGGAGCTTATACCTTTCTTTTAGTAAAGGCAGTAATTTGTAGCTTGTCTTATTAACAGTATTAGACCAGATCATTCCCATTCCTCAGTTGGGAGGCAAGACAAGCACAGTGTCAAAGGGGTTCTTTCTTTCTAGAAACCATGAGCACTTCTAATGCTCCCAAAAGTAATAGGAATGTGATGTTACTTTGAAAAATTATTTAATTAAGCTATTTAAAGTTTAATTTTGGAGGGACTTTAAGGTTAAATGCTTTTACAATTTTGACAGGAAGCTATAATCAATTTGTTGAGATTAAATCAGAGGTTAAATTTCCAAAGTAGAATGTTTCTGAGTTTATAGGGTGTGAAGTGAATATTCTTATTAGTATAACTAATAGGGCCCCAATGAGAACTTAATTCCCTTATTATACACACAGCATATTTTTCTACTCTTTAGACAGTCAGCACACTACAGACAAGTGCAATTTGCAGAGGACCCTGATATGATCAACACCATGCCTGTAACATAACTGGGCATAAGGGTATTATGGAATGTTCTGATATCCTCTGAGGAAGATGTGTCAAAGTTCAGAATGCTTGCAAAGCTATTCCCATTCTGCAGCATATTTAGAGAAAAATTTGGCACTCATTTCCCAATACAACTGAAAAAAAAAAAAAAAAAAAAACGGTCCCACAGCAGAGAGCATAAAATGGTATGTTGTGGAAAAGCAGTATGACATTATTTCTTCCCTGTCCCATACTACTAGACAGCAACATCGAAAACTAGTTCTGCCCTCTCTCTTATGGGCAAAAAACATTAAACATTTTCCTGTATTTTTTAAAGATTCTTACTAAATTGCACATTAAGAGCCTTTAAAAGTTATATCATTTTGAATCGTATACAGTGTTGTAAACCAATGTTACCTATATAAAGAGACATTTCCACTAAAAATTAAAAATAAAAAAGCCAGCTCGTTCACAACCTTTCCTAACATGCACACATACCAAGACATTTAACTCAACTTTCTCCAAAAGAGTAAAAAATAATATTTAGAAATGTTTCCGAATCTCTGTGTTAAAAAAATAAAACTATTTGAAAAGGTATTTGTAAGTATCATACAGTATCACACAAATTCTAAATTCAGGAAATTAATGAAAGAATATTCATATTTGTGGTCAATTCTCAAATTCAGTATATTAAAAGTGGGTGGTACAATTAAAGATGATTCTAATTTCTTGATTTGAATTTTAATATATTTTCCTAGATTTCCCACACTATATGATAATAAGTAATTAGGGGGGGAAAGGAAAATATTTAAAAAAAAGTCTTTAAAGAGGGAAAGCAATTCAGTCTTCTTTAATTGTTCCAGTACTTTCTGACTCTGGATTCAAACTCTTCTTTGTAACATGCACTATCATTCATTCAGTATTGTAGAGTTATTACTATTTCACTTACCTGCCAGCATATGAAGAAAAAATATCCAATGCCATTATTCCTCTAGATTGTTGTCCCAAACTTACTCTGAAGTCCTCCAAATGTTCTGTGGGCACATAAGTAATTCTGGAACAGAATACAATTCATAAAAACAAAGGAAAGCAAAATATGCTTCACAGTTAAGAAAAATTTCCAGAAATATAGAAATGTTATTGTATTATCTTGCTGTTCTTACTTTTTCCCACAAAATTCATTTAATCAACTTACTAGGCAAATAATCCAAATTTCAAAAGGATAAAACATCCTACAGACAAAAATGACAACCAAAATTACATTTTAAAATTCTGCTGCTTTATTTACCAAAAAACCGTATGGAGAGGAAAGGAAGACCAGTGATTTTTTAAAATTAGAAAGATCTATAAATCCTTAGAAAAATAATCACCAGTTATTCATTTCCTACAAGGATTTCTGAGTTCCTTCACAGAAACAAATTAGATGTATTCTATGAAAAACTAAGTATCACCAATTTTGTTAAATATTTCACAATCTATAATTGACTGTGGATATTATAAGCATTACCAATAACAATATGTTAGTTCTATTAAGTTATTAACTGTCAAATATGAAGTTAAACCATGATAATCCATGATAATTTGTGGCAACTTCCTTTAAGTTCGTATTGGTTTCAGAGAAAATTTTTTACTTGCTAAATCAGTAAGTACTGGCTGAATGCCTATAATGTGGCAGGCAGTGAGCTTAGATATTGACTACAGCTTAATGTTTAGAAAATGACATTTGAAAATTCAAATCTGGTGTCCTTTAAGGCCATATAGCTGTTGATACACTTGTTTAAATAGGTTGTCCCAAAGCCTTCAAATTATTCAGTGGTACAGCACAAGAAATATTGTACATAGCTTAGCATGGCTTTACAACTAAAAAATAAATATCCAAAATGCACAACATAAAGACCTTGAACACATTATATGAGGAAAAATCATATTTTATGAAAAGAAGACTAATAATGTGTAAGAGCCTAAAACCAGGAAAGCCTATTGTAGAAAACTGGTATTATTTCTGAAAAGTAAGATGGGAAAACTCATATTTTTTTTAGTTTATTTTTCCTTACATTGTGACTCATTTTTGTGCAATAAGTTTACTAATCCCCATAAATTTCCCACCATTCATCACCTGAAAACTGTCACCATAGTCCTTGTGTTCTCCTTTTCCTTGTTTTGACCACTCTTCCTACCTCTCCACTGAGGTATATCTTAGAGCAGATAAAATCTTAACAAGGAAGGTCAGAGATAAGGGAGGAAAGGTAGAACATAGTAACAATGATCATAATAAAGAGTACAAGTACTTAACTTTTTCATTGGTTTGAGAAGGAAAAGATGTTTCTATCTCCCAAACAATGATGGAAGTGAGTTTTTGTCTACATTTATTAAGTTTTTCTTTTACAAAGGGAGGGAGAGGAAGAAGGCATTTTAGAAAAATTTGCTGATACCTTTAAGCAACAGAGAGAAAGAGAAGACCTAAGTATTTAACTTAATACAGAGAACAAAGCCACCAGAACAAACATCCCACAATGCAGCAGAACATATAGAGTGATTCCAAAACAAACTTGGTCATATAACCACACATCTCCAAATCACCAAACAACAAAACTGAATTACAAACTGCATAAACAGAAAAACAGCTTATTTGAGAGTTATATAAAAATTTTTAAACTAACCTTAGGTTAGACATGGAGAGGAAGAAAAATCTGCATCAGTGGTACCGAAATGAGATATTAATCCAAAGATTGTGTCTGCACATTGAGACAGATTATTCCCTTTCAAAGGAGGCTGAGAGCTTAGTAGTTGGAAAATATGATTTTCAAGTAAGTTCATAATCAGCAGTGCAATGTGAAAATACTTCATCTCTGTTGGAATTTATATTCTTATATAAATGAAGGGGGGAAGCCAAAATGTATACGCTGAACCTATATCTGGGTCTACCCTTGCACTGGGCCATTACAAAAGCATGAAATCATTTTCACAGACAAGTTGCAACACACAGCCATAATGAGCTTTTGAATCACCAATACTCACACATAAAAGGGGGCTCGATCGTCAGCAGGTGCTGTAGAAAATCTAGAATGTGAAGCATACGCCGCGGCATCTTTTTACAATGGTGTTAACAAATGTCAGTGTCTTGTGCTGAATGTGAGATGCATACATATGTAGTTAAAAGTGGGTGCTCCTGGTTGTTTTTTCCCCCTTTCCACCTCCCTCCCATCTACACCTCCCCCAGAAAAGCATCTGCTCTTTACTGGTGTCTATAGCAGTGATTATTAACAAGCATGAAAAAATGTAACTGCAATCAATCTTTTATTCCTTGATCAGGAATTCATCCCACACTTTAGGTTAAGGCAGGTGAATTCTGATTCAGCTCAGTAATTATCTGGCAGATGTTGCAAGCAGCTGCTGCTAAGCACAAAACCCTGGCTATTATTACAGAAATGTAAGAGCTCCTGGCAAGGTGGAGTGAGAAGTGAAACAGAATGCATTCTGGTGAGGCTTCACATCTGGTCTTCCCCAGAAAATAATGAAACCTGGAACTTAAACTGGCTGTTCCTGAACTCTTGAAACTCAAATTATCTACCCAGGCATGCATGAACGCACATACAATGTCCCTACATCTACCATAAATGGTAAAAACGAAATCCTGTGCTTTCAGTTAGCACTGCTTTTCTTAAAATCAACCAAGTTATGTAACTGAAGAATTTAAAGGTTTTTTGTTTTTTGCTTTTTTTTGGGTAAGGCTCTACAATACATTCCCCACCACTACACAAGATTAATCTAGGTTGTAACAAGAAATAAATAAGGAGGAGGAGTTATGTATAAAGACTAGAAAGACTAGATGCTGGCAATCACTACAAAGCTTAATTGGCCAGAGGCAACGTTACAATTCCATTCAGAGTAATGGAAGAACTAGACTTTCCTTCTGGGAGCATTACTCAGACAACTTTCACCACAATTCTAAGCCTTTTGTTACATGAAAGCAACTCACAGCAATGGGGCAGGGCCAAAAACATATTCCTGCAAAATGCAGAAAACATGTTACTCAGTTCTGGTCAACCAACGTGGCTATGTGCTTTGCCATTTAGCACTTTTACTTTTCCCCTGAAAAAGGATTATATGATACTAATTTCTTTCTACCATTTACATGAGTCAAACTATAACCAGCTGACTCAGAGTTTTAGAAAGGCACTTGTAAAAAAATTATTATGTTTTGTTCATAGTATGTGTGTTTGAGAACACATGTGAGCATATGAGGAAAAAAACTTACTGACTTCCAAAGGAGAAAATGTAGAATTTTCCTTATTTTCTTTGTTGAATGTAAAAGATGACAGTTCATTTTGGCTCCTGGACTCCTAAAATAATCATTTATAAAACTAACTCTCCAGATATCCTTTAAAATCATAATAAATAGCTATTCACATGAATGGGTAAATTATGGTACTTCATCAGAGTGTGGGAAAACAAATGAATAAAATAACAAAAACAAAAGTAGAAAAAAAAAAAAAAGACTTTTGAAGCTTGAAAACACACCTGACAACTTTTCTAGAGTTCACTAGATGCTGGACTTATGCCAAACTGATGTCACAATTATCTTATTTTAGGCCATGTTTCAAAGTCTGCAGTTTATGAGGACTGAAGGGTAAGGCTAGAACTATGTATTGTATGTGGGACTCAGTGACAAAAGTGAACAGGGGACCTGTATTAATGCACATGGCACAATGTACATTATCACATAACAAATGGAATGACCAATTACAAGGCTTTCAATCTATTATGCTACATCTAACTGTGCAAGCTAAAATGCTTACAATAATCTCCATGTGAACCTTATCAACTATCTTTTTTTTAATATTTTTAAAGATTTATTTATTTATACATACAGAGCTGGGGTATAGGCCAGGGTTGCAGGGGTGATGAGAGGATTACCAGAGACAGAGTGGGGAGCAGAACAGGCAGACTGACGAAGTACACTGCTGAGGGGAGCAGTGGTTGAGATAGGGGAGGTTTCACCATGTTGATCACCTCCGGTGTTGGGGAATTAACTCGCATTGAAGCAGCTGTAGCTCACCTGCAGTGCTGTGTACTAACCCTTCATGCCACCAGATAAAGCCCTTATCAGCTACCTTTTAAGTAAAAGGAATGGACAATTACCTGCAAGTTGTGAGAAAAACACTTGGTTTAACTTTTTTTCTGAGAGTAGAGGCACTGATGGTACCTTTTTTTTAATGATGCTCACTTGTACTAGTATTATTAATAGGATAAATAAAGATCTGTCACATGACCTGATGATAGGTTCTCTTTACAAAGTAAGTCAAATATACACACAAAAATGAAAGCCAATTAATGAAATTCTACCTAAACTGCCATTTTTTTTGTAAGACAGCATGATCCACTCCAACCTATATTTTTCTGCTTTCTATATAAAGACAGAATGAATACCAGATCCTATAGTTTTTTGAAACAGTTCTATCAATGTGAACGTATAAAGAATAATATAAAAAACAGTCAGTGAAATATCAATAAAATAATATCTCCCATACTAGTCATTACATCAATTTAAGGTGAATGATCTTCCCTGAGCTCTTATTTTACAAGTTTAGCTTTTACACATCAAACAGAAATATTCAATAATTGATGCTAGAGTAAAATATCCAGCTATTACATTGGTGATTGAAATGATAAAGTAATGAACTGATTCTGTGTTGGCTTAAGAAATGTTTAGTAATAAATATGACTTGCTTTAAGACATTCTGAACACTTCCTGACAAAATATCAAACTATTTTAGACATTACTGAATTATCCTAGATCATGAGACAGTTCAACAAAAGGTAAATAATGGGTCCAAGTAGCACTGTTCTTTATGGTCTTTTCTATGTCTTTGTTTATAAAACTGACAAAGTTCTAATGTTCATACAAGTCAATTAGGCAGTACATAAATCCTTACACTGACATCAATATAAACTCTGTAAGACCTTAAGAACAAAACCTTCTGTTCTATGAAAGAAGTCTTACATATAAAGTTTTTCCAGAAGTCCTTGGAAATAAAAGCAGAAACATTGTTTTCATGAATTTCAGCACTGTTACGTCATATCTGCACTGAAGAACTATTAAAAATTTCCAAATTTTAAGCTATTTATGTTATGTAATAATTCTATATATCAAATAAAAGTATCAAAATGGGGGGGGAGGGAAACAACTCTATTTAATGAATTGAAATCATGAATTTTCCAAACCCAACTGGGGTACAAATGACACTTACTTTATGTCAGGTCCAATGAGAGAATGTCTTCTCAGCATGGCTCTTGCCTGGGCATTGTTTAAACTGACAGTAGATTCTTCATTAATAGATAAGATGCAGTCTCCAACAGAAATTCGACCATCTCTACTAATGGCACCTCCATGAATAATGCTTCGAACAATCATCCCCAGTCCATCTTTATTAGCACTTACTGTCATCCCTATAGTATAGGAAGAACACATATAGGTATTAATTACATGAATTTCAAAATCAACTTAATTTGAATTTAGTAATTCCTAGGGAATTAAGCATAAAAGAATAACAGTAACATTTCCACATAATAAAAGACAACAAAACCAATGAAAATCTTTGCCTACTAAAATTTTCCTGGGTAAATATTGAAATGCTTGTGAAATTATATCTAAGTACATCATAAGTTAATTACATTAGTGACAGGTCTGCACTGTGGAGTGAGTATAACAGCTACTTGATGTATTACCCTTTAAGTGGGAAAGCTTGCCCAAAGACAGTATTTTGACAGTATCTAATCAAAGTCATAATTGATTAGCAGTTGATATTCCTGTTTCCCCTTGTGCTTCCAGCCTTCCCACAAAAAATAAAAAAATTCAACTGTATGACTATAAAACAAAATTTAACTGAAATCTAAACCATCATTTTGCTTTTCATTAGCACTATGTACTCTACAATAAAGATGTCAAAGCATCTTTAACTCAGAACTCTATTGCCATAAAAATGCTCACATTATGTTCTCCTAAAACCAAGAGTCCGACATCAGTTATCTTATAGTTCCCTTTTCACCCAATGATTATCAGAATGTGATAACACCATTATTCCTCTTTTTATCAGAATTACTTTGGCTATTTGAGATCTTTTATGGCTCCATATGAATTTCAGTACTGTTTATTCTATATCATTGAAGACTGACAATGAAATTTTGATAGGGATTGTATTTAATTCATATCACTTTTGGTAATTGGTCATGTTAACAAAGTTCATTTTCCAATAGCCTTCCATTCTTGTGTCTAGTACGGTTTTTCGAACAATCCTAAAAGTGGTCATTTTGTAGATTAGTAAAAAGTGGGGCCTAGTTTGAAGTTAGGTTGCTCAAAGGTTCAGAATACAAGTAATGAAACTCTGTTTTGGAACCATTTTGTGGATTTGGTTTCAGAGTGCATGGTCTGGAATGTACTACTATTAACTTCTTTTAGAAAAAGATTGAGATATTTTAAAAGTTATAACCAAGTATAATTGGATATTGCATCTAAGGAGATTTGAGCCTATGCCTTTGAAAAACATAGAGCACTGTAAACCAAACTTACCTCAATAAAAACCAAAAATTGTTAAAAATGGAACTTATATGAGTTAAATGTGAGAAATGCAGCATTCTATAATTTCTTCTCTTAGATCCACATTTGAATATTAAGATACTATTAACAGGCCCTCCCTGGTGGCACAGCGGGTTAAAGCACTGCACTGAGAAGCTAAAGCCACTTCCGCATGAGTTCAATTTCCGCCTGACCACATGGCATGGCAGACCTCTCCTGGCCCGCCCGCTGCTCCCCTCAGCAGTGTACTTTGTAGATCTGCCTATTCTGCTCTCCACTCTGTCTCTGGTGAAGCCTCTCACTGCCCCTGAGCCTCTGGTCTGTACCCCAGTTCTGTATGTACAAATAAATAAATCTTAAAAAAAAAGAAAAAAAAGATACTATTGACAAACCTTGTGTGTCTTGTATGGTAATGTATGCCTAAACAGTATGTTTCAATAGTTCTAAATCATCAACTGTGTTTTAAACCAATGTTACCTCAAAAAAATATGTTTCAAAAAATAATTAAGAAGTAGTACAAACAGAATTATATATCCTTAAATGTATCACATTCTAAACTTTCAAACTTGGAACCATTAAATAACTTCTATTAATATCTCACAAACTAGTGTTGTCTGTAACATGCTTTGAGAAACTGCATTAACAAATGGATTATTTCTGACATGCTTATATAGCTATAATTGCTTACTCAAAATTAATTATAGAAAGTAGTATAGCTTAAGTTTTATTCTACTAAATGGAATATATAACTCATTATACGATAAGTAGACATCCTCTGCTATAATTCTCCATTGAGATGTTATTGGTAGTACCCAGCCACCACCAAGTGGAATAAAGTCCAAAAAACAGAAACTGAAATCCATTCACCAAGTAAATACTGCAAGGCTCTCTTGTCAAGCCTCAAATTTAACAATAAAATAAGAGCTTCCCACCTTAAGATATCAACATAAAGGGTCCCAGTTGTCTACATCATAGACAGAGCAAAAACTCTAATGTAGAGCTAACCAGAGCACTTTAGGGTATGCTTTGCCATTAAGAACAACAGATCTAACGTGCTATTAATCAACACAAAGCACTTGTGACAGAGATGAGTCACATGACTACTTAGCTCAAAAAAAAAAAAAAGGACAAACTTGCTCTGTTTAGTTTTGATTTAGCTAGTGTAATCTGCAGTTTATTTCTGTGCAATATTTATTCCTGTGCAATATCTTTGCCCAGTTTAGAAGGTTTTGGCACTATTAACCAGCCACAACTCTTTTAAGGTAACAGAGAACACAAAAATCCTTCCACTTGGGATAAAGTACTGCATAAGCTATATTTATTTTGCTGGTGGCACACCTGGTTGTGTCATTATTTCAGTGAATGAAATAAATTAAATACAAACTGACATATATGTAACTGGTAATATCAAAGAAACTAATAATTTGCCTTTCCAAAGAATTCGAAATCCAAATTGCTGACTTTTCATTTTCTCAGAAGTCCTTTTCTGATTTACTATTTCAAATACAAATAACACATGTATCTTTTGCATAAATGTAAATGAAGCTTGTGAAGACCTTTAAGTAATTAAGAATGAGGGATTTAAGCTAGTCTGATGTATACAAACCTGCTAACCATTTCAGAAAAAATAATGAACACATAAAAAAGAGAAACAAAGTAACTACAGGAAAAATTACACATTTTCTTATCTATGGCCAAAAATAATGAAATCATGGTCAGTATTTTCTCTTGGTAAGAAGGTTGGGAGGAAAGATAAATGTAGAAAACCAGAAACTTACCCAGGCTCGAATTGCCTTTCGCTACAGCAATAGTTCTCTCGAATGACTCTTTAGATAAATTTTGAAGCATGACACACTCAGCAGTAGAAGCCAGGGAACTCTGCTGAATGAAGAATTCGGAGCCCTGGCAGAAAAAAAGAGACACATGGAAAGGAAAACTAGACTCTGGAGTATGATTTCAACATCATGCATATAACCTAATTGGTTGTGCTTTATTCAGCAAGACCTTATAACTAAATTACTAAGTTGATAGATTACCTTCTGAAAATCTGTGTTGGGAGAGCACTTGTTTCCAAATTAGCTAGAATTTGATTATATAATGATCTCATGAAGAGTTACATAAAGGTTCATTTACATAAGGAATTTAACTTCTACATGTATAAGTACATTAGCCAGAATCCCCAAATAGTCACTGTCCACAACCACATCCTACCACACAAAGCTTATTTTAAAATCTTACCTTTCCAACTGAGTCAGGGAGTACAGAAGTAAGCTCTGTGCTTGATATGACTTCATTTGGTAGGTGAGGTTCATTCCACACTGTTGTGTTTTCACATTTATATTGCTCAATAGCATGTGCAGGTACATAATCATTCAAGGAAAAGCCAGAAGCAGGCCCCATGTTCAACTCTACTGAAGGAGGACTCTCATCCTGTCTTTGTAGGAGATTTTGGTTATACAGTTCCTCTAAGGACATGTGCAGATCAAGTACTGGATCTGAAGAATTTTCAGCAATATCCTGATAAGCATAGAATAAAAACTTTTAAATATGGCCAATTACATCAATGCATTTTGAAAGAAAATGTTTTAATGGACAAGTATTTAGTGACAAAGAAAACAACATAATTACACACTACTCAAAAAGCATAAGCAGGGCCCTCCCTGGTGGTGCAGTAGGTTAAAGCACAACACTAAGAAGCTAAAGCCACTTTAAAATGAGTTTGATCCCCATCTGCCCCGGAGGTGACCCACATGGTGTCCCAGACCTCTCCTGACCGGCCCACTGCTCCCTTCAGCAGTGTACTTCGTGATCTGCCTGTTCTACTCCCCACTGTCTCTGGTGCATCCTCTCACCGCCCCACACCTCTGGCCTGTACCCCAGTTCTGTATGCATAAATAAATAAATCTTTAAAAAAAAAAGCATAAGCAAATATACAAATTATTCCATTACCTGTGTATTTTTAAATAAATGCTCTTTTGAGTAAATTTCCAGAAAATCAAATATTTTTCATGTTTTACTAAGTTAAATAAGATCACTTAGATAAAATATATTTTATTCACAAAATTATTTCAAATTTAGTCTATGTAAGAAAGTAAATAATTTATATTTCAAAATCTTAAAGAGTGATTTATTTTGAATTGGTGTTAAGTTCCTATTTGTTAACAGCTTGAGAGCATAAGGAAAATAACATTGTTTCAGAATCACAAGAACCTCCAGAAAGAAAATTATTTTGATAGGCTTTTATAGATGTTTATGGAGAACAGAATGTCACACAATTCACATTATTGTAGAGGAAACTTGCATAATTATTCTGCTGGATATAACCAAAGGAACACTATAAAGAGGGATCACAGATGTAGGACCTAATCCAGGCTCTCTAATCTGTACAGCATAGAATATTTCTTGTCTTGATATAATTTCTGAAATTCTCTGAAACTCTCCAGTTTTAGTGTTCCACACAAATACATACCTCCAGTTATAACAGATACATTTAATAGCATATCTTTGGGCAAACAGCTGACCCATAAATTGTTACTGAATAAACATATCAATTTTCCCATCAGTTATTTTAATGGAATTTTTGAAGTATAAAATTATCGTATGAATATATTATCATAAGAAAATAGTCAATATGGAAGTCTTTCGTTATGACTCCTACCTTCATCCCCTTACCCAGAAGAAACAGGTAGCATCATAAGGCTTTACTCATCAGATCTTTAACTGATCTGATTATTGTACTTACATAATACGTAAGTACAAGTACACAGGCACACACCTACTCATGCATGCATATACACATGTGTAACACCTAAACTGAACAACACACTATAGTATTGTTGTTCTTGCTTTTTGGAAATATATCTTGATATGACAGATCTCTACTCAGTAACTGAAGGTCAGCTAATAACTTTTTTAAAAGACATTTTTTTATTTATGCTTACAAGAACTGGGGTGTAAGCCAGAGGTATAGGGGGGTGGATGAGAGGATTCACCCTAGACAGAGTGGAGAGCAGAACAGGGAGATTTACTGAAATACACTGCTGAGCAGAGCAGCAGACCCAGACAGTGCTCCTCGCCAGGGAGCTAACTCATGCTGCCATGGCTGCCAACAGCTTGAGAGCACTGAGACTTGAATCCCTCACCAAAAACGACCCAAGATAAAATTTCTTATGACTACAAAATATTTCTTAGTATGAAAACACTGGAATAGACTTTGGAGCCTGGCTGCCTGGATTCCATCACTAGTTAGTTGTCTGAGCTTTGGGGCAAGTTACTTAAACCCCCTGTGCTTGGGCCTTCCTGACTGCATATGGTTTAAGTGTCAGCACTCTTAACCTATCAGCAATCAGTCACCACTGCATGAGTTCACTTGTTAGAACTCATATCACCAGTATGGTCTGACTTAAAGTATCTAAAAAGCCATTTTTTTTTTATTATACATTTTTTACATGGGTGAAGTTATTTAGTATAAACACCTAGAAATAAGAACTATGCATCAAAAGATAAGCACATTTAAAGTGCTGCAATATATTGCCAAATGGTCCTCTAATGTTCTCTCATTAAGATACAATAGGTATATTTAACTAATCTTGCCAATGTCGATTAGTTCCACTACTGGACTAGTATGAAATAAATATACTAATGTTTTAGTGTTTAAAATACACATTCCTGGCCCTCCCTTGTGGACAGCGGTTAAAGCACAGCACTGAGAAGCTAACGCCACTTCCGCATGAGTTCGATCCCTGCCTGCCCCGGAGTAGACCACATGGCGTGGCAGACCTCTCCTGATCCGCCCGCTGCTCCCCTCAGCAGTGTACTTCGTTGATCTGCCTGTTCTGCTCCCCACTCTGTCTCTGGTGAAGCCTCTCGCCGCCCTTTCACCTCTGGCCTGTACCCCAGTTCTGTATGCATAAATAAATAAATCTAAAAAAAAATACACATTCCTATTCCTGACAAATACAGAATAAGGGTTATCTCCTGTGAATATTCTTCTCAGATTATTTAGTTATCAACTGTGCCATTTTTATGATACATCTTAAATTCTTTATATAAACAAACCCCAATTTTTTTTTTATTGAGGTAACTGGCTAAAACACTGTATATGACTCATATAGTAGCACTTCACACCTCTTCATATGTATGTTAGCAATAACAAGCCCACCACCAAAGCATCTGTATTCCTCTACTATAGTTCACTAGGCCCTATCCTCCCCACCTTTTGGCACACTCAATTTTACAGTAAGAATTCTAGGGTTTTCTTTATCTGTTTCCTTATAGCCCACAATGTGTGAAAGCATCTTGCACTTGTCTTCATTCTGATTCTTTTTTTTTTTTTTATTTAGCATGATTCCTTCCAGTCCATCCATGTTATTGCAAATAGCAAATGTAGCTATGTAGTATTCCCCTGTGTATACTCACTACATCTTCCTAACCCACTTGTGTACTTGGGCACCTGGATTGTTTCCATAACTTGACTATTGGAAACAGTGCTACAAAGAACACAGTAATGCATACAGCCCTTTTATTTAATGTTTTTGCATTCTTTAGAAAGATACCTAGGAGAAAAATTGCTGGATTATGTAGTAGATTATTAAGAATCTGAAAGTCCTCCATATTCTTTTCTATAGGGGTTGGACACATATACACTCCCGCCAACACTCTATGAAGTTCCCTTTTCACCACCACCTCATTAGCAGTCATTTCTGGTCTTTTTGTTATGGCTTTTCATATACTTCAAGCCAATACTTTATCAGTTGCAGTTTTTACTTGTTCTTCTCATTCACGCTATAAATACAAAGTCTTTGTATTTATTGTATTAATATTGCAAACATTTTTCAAGTTTGTCAACTTGTGTTTTAAATTTGTACATGTTATATACATAGATACATTATATATGCAGAATTTAAATTATTTATGTAAATGTTTATGTAATACTTTATGAAATTATCATATAATCAAATTTGCCATATTTTCTTCCACTTCTATGTTATGTATTGCTTAATAAATCTTTACCACACAATGAAATGCATTCTAGTATAACAATTTTGTTTCTAGTAAAACTGTTTTGTTTCTGATTTGGTTCTAGATTTTAACTCACCTGGTATTTCAAAGTATACTGTGAGTTGTGTCTCTTTTCATTTTTTTATAAATTCATAATTAATTGCTTCAACACAATTTACTATATTTCTCTTTTTAAAATCAATACTTCTTTGGAATTACCACTATTTCTGATACAAAGAATTACATTACAGTAGTATAATTTATTACATTAGCAATAATATCATACAAACTAATAACACATTTAAAAATTTCAGGAACATATATGTAGGAATTTATCTTTCTCCATATTCACAGACCTAATCAATAATCTGTTGTGTTATTCATCCAAATTAGATTATCTTATTTTTATGAACTATAAGACTATACTTATTATAGAATTTGTTAGCATCTGTATTACTAAATTACAGAAATTAGTACTAAATTAACTTCCCCATATCTCGAATAAAGATAACAATCAAAATTGCTTTTCATAAGAAAAAGAGGTCAAGCCAACCTTGTTAACAGAAATTTTTATGCATTATTCATGAAGGAGTTAACATAGACACATAGAAAAGAAAGAGCTAATCAACACAGCAGACAACATACGCCTACTTCAGAAACATTTCTGGTTGCTGAACAACCAACTGAGTTTTATTTTTAAAAGTCTTATGGATCTAAAAGAAAAGCAGTTCTTCCCCCACAAGACATTCAAAAATAACTACAATTTTCCAGTTCAACTTTGTCTCTAAACTGAAGTCTTTCAAAAATCCATTAATATATACTTCTACTTGATATATTTTACTTGGGGAAAAAAATAGAGAAAAGGATGAATAAAAATGTCAAATATACTTGAACTATTTTTCTTAAGTATAATGAGTAAGTTAATGTTACTCTTGGGCACACTATTTGTTTTACATTTATTAACATAGATGTTAACTTTACATAGATTAGCTAAATATTTAAACATCCACCGGATGCATAAACAATCTACAAGCTGTTCTTCTATAAGAACAACTTACTATAATTTTATCACTCTTTGAGATAAGATATATTTCCTATATCGTTTATACACTGACCCTTCTGAGTGAAAAGATATCTTTTATAGCTTTAAATATTGAAGTCTGTCACACAAACTGTGACAGCATTCTGACTGGAGTGATTTAGTTTTGTTTTTTTTTTTAATCCTAACCACTTCTCCAAAAACATTAAATACATACATACATATATATATATATATATATATATATATAAAACATCTTAAACATCAAAGTTAGTTATCATAAAGTATATGCTACAGAATGAAACTAAGCAGAGATGTGTAGGACTATACAGCATCATGGAACATATTAATATCTGTGTTTGATGTGCAAAGTATAAAAAGACATCTCTGCCTTAACAAATACCAAGTTCAACCTGAACTAGAATTAGCAATAGTTTATAGGGGGACCAACACTCAGGAATAAAGAACTTGGTAGTCATTTCATCCCTGGATCATAAACGAAAGCAGGGTATGCAAGGGAAGGCAGGACATGTAGTTGTCTTTAAGTCAAAGTAGAAAACATATATAAATGAAAGCACCTTTTCCCTAAGAATCACGTTGCACTTTACCAAAAAGTTTAAAATCATTTGAATTAAGAATGTCATCATTTCTGTATTTTGTTACATCTTTAGAGGTGATTGCAAAAGATTTACCAACAAATAAAACCAGAACTATGAAAAGCGAAAAAATCCATTGGCTTTTATCTTCAAATTCTGTATTTCAGTTACCTGCCTCTACTAATCTAAATACTATGGAAGTAAGCTACATTTTTCACTTTCTTGAGTCATGGTTATACTCCTTAAATCTACATATTATGATTAATCAAATTTAGCCAAAATCAAAACAAAAGCAAAATTAATGGGACTGGAAAGAATTTTGTGCAGAGATCCTCCCCCACTTACTGCAGCATCCCTCCAGCTCTGTTCTTTTGAAATAATAGGGACTCCTGCTAGGGTTAGTCCCCACTCTGAATGATTAGCTCTGGTAGCACACTGTCAAGGCCAAAACTGCTCAACGTAAGGAGGCAGGTAAACGTATTTGTGTGCTTCCAGCCTTCATTGCAGGCTGTGAGATATCCATCAATTTAGCACAATCAGAAAGCCAAAAAATTACTGCGATACCCATACTTATATCAAACCAATACGGAGACTTCTGAAATATGGACAATATGGATTGTCTCTAAAACATCATATTCTATATGATTTTATTTTGTCAAGTACAGAATTGTGAAATGAGCTGACTTTAGAAAAAAAACTGGACAATTCTAAATTCTGTAACAATTTGCCGTTATGTCTTTTTAGAATACACACAGTGCAAAGAAACAAGGAGATGAATGTACCATCTTTTTTTTATTATTTACACACATTTTCTATAAATATGTAGGTACTAGAAAGATGCCACAAAAAATAAATACAAAAACTTTCTAAGAAAACTGAAAGCACTCAGGAGTTTCATAATGTGTTTTAAAAGAGCCTCATTAATGTCTTCTCTGTTGTTTTGTAGTTTAAATATTTCAGTTGATAGGCCAGCTTGCCAAAATTTGCTTCAACAAAAGAGTAAACTGCTTGGGGGGAAAAAAAGAGGCAAACAGACTTTAGTAAGCCAATATGTTGTGCTGCATACAGCCAGCATTTGCCCTGTAAAATATATGCTTCTCAGTATGCAGACTGTGTAATCCCTTTAAGTAACAATTACTAAGTTAAACAATGCAATCTGTCCCCCTGGCAAGAAGAATGTGATGCTATGGTTTAGGAGATTCCATTAGGAGAATGAACTCAGCTTCCAGCCCTGGGGCCAGTAAAACTGAATAGGGTCCAAACAGGACATAGTCAGAGACACAGTCTCAGGTGTGATGAGAGAGGAGCAGCTGCTCCATTCAAGATTACACCTTGCAAACCAATCCAAGAAGATTGCCCAGCATCATTTGCAAAGATAACAGGTGCCACCTTGAAACATAAAAGAAAATGTTTTCAAAATGTTTTGGCCAAAAACTTACTTGCTAATCAGGAAAGGAAGAAAATCACGTTAAACCTATGGAAATTCTACTTTCGAACTCACTATAAATACACATTTTCTTATTGCTGAATCTATGTGGAAAATAAAATTTCACCTATTTAGAAAACACTGCATTAGTAACATTAATATTATGCATCATAATTTTAATGTTTATTTATGGTATATTGTCAAAATAAAACAATAAGCAAAATATAGTCATATGTAAATGAGGATTTAATACAGATTAACATTTTGCCAGATTTTTTTCAATCTCCTTCTTCATAAAGTAATATATTACAGATACGGATCTCATGCCTCCTTCTTCCTCCAAGAATAACTTCTTTCCTGAGGCTGACAAATCTCATTCCCATCCATTTTTAGGTTTTTTAATGAACACTCACAAGTATATACCAAATTGTTTCATATATTAATTTCTAGAAAATATAGCCAATTACAACAAATCAACAATAAAGTGAGCAGGTCAATACTCAAAAATGTTCAAAATATATGAAGAGAGCAGTGATGGAAATAAAACCCAAATGGTTAAGTGTATGAAAAACTTCAATTTTACGTAGTACTCAAAAATTTCAAATTAAAATTGTGTGATTTCATCCCAAGATAGGATAGGTTTAAAACATTACTCATTAAATATTACAGAACATATCACCAAGAAAACAGAGTTGGGGCACTTAGGTCAATAACCTATTTCTAAAATATAGATAATGTAGATGTGTCAATAGTAACTAAATTCCATTAACACAATGACTTAAATGTAGTCTCCCAATTACTGTGATTTTTATTTAAATATTTAACATACTTTTATATAAAAATAAGACATCATGGGCTCTCCCTGGTGGCGCAGCGGGTTAAAGCACAAAGAAGCTTAAGCCACTTCCGCATGAGTTCGATTCCCTCCTGCCCGGGAGGAGATCCACATGGATCTTCTGACCCACCCGCTGCTCCTCTCAGCAGTGTACTTTGTCAATCTACCTGTTCTGCACCCCACTGTCTCTGGTGAATCCTCTCACCCTCCGCATCTCTTGCCTGTA